GCTTTTTCGCCCGAGGAAGTACCAGCCTCACAAAACCACCCGAGGGCGGAAATTAGTAGTTTTCCTACGAGTTTGAAAAGTCTTTGTTTGCGAACCGAGAGGTTTGCGGCCCGAGCCGAAGGCGAGGTTCGTAACGAGGTTCGTAAAGGGGCCTTTCGAGCGAGTATCGGAAAACTGCTTTTTCGCCCGAGGAGGTACCAGCATTCCAAAACCACCCGAGGGCGGAAAAGTATATTTCTAGTATGAAATGGGTATAATGTATGAGTGAGCATAATAAATATTACTTTTTAATGTGCTAATTTAAAACTACTTTACGAAATAAATTGATTTTCGAGAAAAATCGCAATACTTATTAACAATATACAATCATGAAAAGAGATAAAAATTTTTTTTATTAAGGTACTATTAAATAGGTATTTTTCAGCATAAAAGTATACTCAACACCTAAAAAAATTAAGTCAGTTGTTAAATATACATCACTGTTAAAATAAACGGTTGTAAAAGATCATTGTCTAAAAGATTCTGTGTATTCTTGTTAGTTAGCATCGACTAATTGTTTCCTTGCAGGTGGCGTTGTTTCAAATTATTGCACGAAGCGAATATAATAATCAAAAATAACGATAATACGCATGCACAGTTTAGGAATTATCGATAAAATGCTTGCTTTTGCGAGATCTCAAATATCGTGGTAAAGCCTCAGGCCAATTGTACTGAAGAAGTTATAAATGTTTTGATCGATGATTTTATTTTCTATAAGTAAAGATAAAAAAAAATGAATTTGAGAAAAAAAAATTTATACAGTTAGCTATTACGTTTATTTATTTATATATATCTATGTACAACTGAGTTTCGAATGTTTTTGTGTTACTGGATGGCTATGAGAAGTACGATTCCAAAAACTTCATAAGATATTTATGGTACTTTATTAGCTGTTCTTCATATTTTCAAAAATGGTCTGGGCGAGCACTCGAAACTTCAGACTAATAACAGTAGAAGATAAACAAGCTTAGTTGCTCTGTGCACACGCGAAAATTAAGTTTAATACCAAAATCCTATTCAAACTACGTGTATTCATCTGACACTAACGCCAAAACCATGTTATTAACCTGAAACATGAGTAACTTACAAAAAGAATAAATAGAAACATAAAATTTATTAGTACAATGCTATGTATAAAATATTTATCTTACCTCGGGGGATTTTCGTGACATTTGGTAGAGAGGGTATGAAAGGGAGTGTGGCTGAAGTGTTCAAAAGTCACTGATTATCGTCTGTTACAAACCATACAAGCAGTGATACGTTTGTGTGCATGTGAATCTGTTTTCCTTTCTACCGCTTGTACCAGCCATGCGGTCCCAAAAATAGCGTCTTCGGCCATACTCTCCTTTACACCCTCTCATTTACAGCACCATCGGTAGGAAAAATAGAGTTTATCGCACAATCGTCATCCAACCGAGGCTGCCCTCCGGGCTCTTGGGCCGTAAAATAGCCCCGATTATGATGGCTTGTATGACGAAAACTACAATTTTTGACCATGGGCGCCAAATTTTTGCTCCGATGGGTCTCAATTTGCACTCTTTAAATCACTCTCGAAAAGAAAAACGACGTACGAACCTTCGGTATAAACATACAATAACCTCGCCCTTAGAGCGAAATTTTTTTTATTACGTTCATGTTACTAAAACTATTTTTTTTACCATAGGCGTTATGTACATCCAACGTGCCTGAAGGGTACGACTAATGTGTATGTTTGTGAGAAAATTTTTGCGTAATTGTTTATTAACTTATTTAATCAATTAACTTTATTATTTTACCATAAAAATCCTAGTCAGTTCCTTTTCATTAAAAACCAGAGAAATTATGCTTAAGTTACTAAGTATCATTTAATAGTAGTTTTCCTACGAGTTTGAAAAGTCTTTGTTTGCGAACCGAGAGGTTTGCGGCCCGAGCCGAAGGCGAGAGCCGTAACGAGGTTCGTAAAGGAGACTTTTCGAACGAGTTCCGGAAAACTGCTTTTTCGCCCGAGGAAGTACCAGCCTCCCAAAACCACCCGAGGGCGGAAAACTGTTTTTTCGCCCGAGGAAGTACCAGCCTCCCAAAACCACCCGAGGGCGGAAAAATAATTTTTGAACCGTCATACTTTAAGTTTTGAGGTTTAGGTTTCAAGATGAATGGTTTTAACAGTTCCTAACTAAGTTCAAACATCATTACAAATAATATCTTGTTGAAATTTCAGGAAGATCTGAGAGGCTAGCGAAATTTCTACAAAAGTAACATCAAGTGACGCGGTAATGACGCGTAGCTGCAACAATAATTTTAGCATATTCAAGATTGGTAAATAATTATTGTGGAACTTTCAAGTTTTTAAAAGAAAATTAAAAAATAAAAATAAAAATAAAATAAAACACTTTAAACTGACATCTTGTTTTTTGACCTCTTTTAAAGGCAGTTTTTATTCAGGTTTGACTTTCAGAATATGCTGTTAAAGAATAAAAATATTTTTTAAGGTTGAAAGCAGCTTGTTCAGTCAAAAAAAATTCTTTAGTACGATAATTAAGTACTGCGTACTAGTAAATAATTAGTTTATAAATTTTAATTTCTCAAGTTTTAATAATATAGAGTAAGTCTACTATATAGTAATACGTGTGACATATTACCGTATTTAGGTTCTTGTTTGTACATACTTTTTGAGTGTAGTGATTCAGTCGATAATAAATTGTTATTTTCTTGTTTATATATTAACAAGTTAACATATTTTACCTGTTTATCTATCCATACATATTTATCCAAGATCTTTTTACTTCGAATAAACTAACAAAGAAACTTTTCCTTGATAAACATTGGAGGGGAGGTGGTCAGAGTGATAGTAAAAAAAATAATAGAAAAAAAAGATCCTTATTAAATGAGATTAAGTGTATTTTAGAACTTCACAATGAAATAATTTAAGAAAATGATTAATACATACTATATGCTGGGCTACTCATAATTTTGAATTCGTTACAGTGACAACAGCTTTAGTTTTACTGTAACTAAGAAAAAAAATTAATAAATTGGTATACTACAAGGCACACTATTTTTTACTATTTATAAAAATATTCCAATGGTACGTATATTCTACGCTTTTTGCATTGACACAGTGTAATTTTTTACATTTTTTAGAATATGTAAAAATGAAATTTATAGTTATATTTTTATATATTTTACAAAAATTTTATTCTATTTTATTCCAATATGTATAATATATTATCTGATACATATACTAATAATACTAATTCATCATGGTGTTACTAAAAATATAGTCTGTGCATCAATAAAATGGCAGTATAAGGGTGACCTACGCATACAAAAAAAATCTTTGAAAAAGCTATTATCATTATCTAAAGCATTAAAAGCAACTTTGTGAATTGATCAATTATTTGGCTTTATTTTTCGCACACTAGAATTCAACTGAATATGAATATGACCCAATGAAGTCTAGCACTTCACAAACAAAGCATTTAAGAACAATATCAATAAGGAAGTAGAATATAAGAAAAAAGCAAAACAAAAAATCAGTAAGTAGTTAAAAGGGTGGATAAAACTAAAGCTTATAAAAATATGGTACATGATGGATAGAAAGGAGAGAGTTGCAAGGACGCTGAATTTGATTGCAGATGTAAACATGACTTGGCAGGATCTACTCTACAATGGTCATGTTATGCACTGTTTAGTGTTGATGTCAAATATCTAAGTAATTACCAGTTTGTATAAGTTATTGCACAGCTGTTCTGAACACTCATGACATAGATGTATACATTAACAGCCTTGGTTATTAAGATTACTCAATATTTTTGAATAAAATAAATGCCATTTTTATTAAAACAAACAACTAAGAAGCTACGTAAGACAGCAAAATAAGTAAATCCATTTCAGGATAGGCCAGTCAGAATAAAAGTTAATATACAGCCATGTGGTATTATACAGTCAGAAAGCTTCAAAATAAGAGCTGGTAGCGCCACCTTGATTGTAAACGCTGAAAACCTGACGATAGATCCTTTGTTGATAATATACTTGTACACATATGGGACTGTTCCGAAATAGCGCTCTTTGACCAACACACAGCCATACCCTGTTTGTGCGTGCTGTCATTGAAGAGAACTACATATCATAGAGCTTTTATGGTAATAGTCTGTACGTAGACAAAATCTCGCGTAGATTTAACTGCATAGATATTGATTTTATTTCTGGTGCTATGAAACGCATCTCCAACACACGTCTGATTTGTGTGTAAAACATACGGGTAAACATAACCTCAACAAAAATGACGAGATAGCAGGGTGGGAGGCGATAATTGACAGACATTCAAGCTCAGAGAGAAAAGAGCAGTCATGCAGATCAAATATTTTACTCCACTATATAGGTACTAATCAAATAAACAGCCCCCCTTTGCGTTTAAAACGGGTGAGGTCAAAGATTATTGCTGCTACTCACCTGCAGATAATTCACTGCTTCTTTTAACTGTCCACTCACTGTGTGTACGTTGTAAGCTGAACTTGTTGTTGCCGTCAACGTCGTTGTCACTTACAATTATTACTGTAGCACAAATTACTCGCTTTAGTCCAAAACATCCGTACAGTACCGCGCACACACATGTACATCAACTTCCTGATGATCGTACAGCAATAGTAAATAAGCGTACACTAATCAACTCTTTCTCTCCCCAGCAGGGAATTAATCAGGGGAAGTAACGTTGGGCGTTACAGGAGCAGAATATATTAGGTGCCAGCGGTATAGGAACAAAGATAAAGAGCCAGCATCAGAAGAATGGAAAGCTAGCTATGGGTGCCTATATAACAAACACAGGGCACTTGTTATCGTTGAACTTAGGATAAAAAGCAGTAGCAGTTATCCTTATGGTGATAGATATGATTATTTGTGTAGTACACGGCTTTGACAAATGATTTATAATTAAAGTAAAAGTACTTGATACTTAAAAAAGAATTCAGAGACTCAAAACTCACCGTCATTGGGGTCTTCTTCCAGCTCATCATTCTGGAAGTAGGATATATCTGAAAGGCAAAAGCAGGCTCTTGGTTAGCGTAAAACAGAAAAGATGGGCAGAAAAAGGGGTTAAAAGAATAACCGGGGATGAAAGTGAAAATAAAGTGAGTGAAAAACGAGAGAAAAGTAAGGCTCCTCGCGTCCCCCTTGCTAGAAATTTTATAAATTGTTTGTCTAGGTTTTGTATTGCGAGTTGACAATCACTGGTAAAAACGGTCGAGAAATAAACCTAATACGCGGGGCTTATAACCTGTGGCTCGCGAAAACACGAGGAGTCCTCCGGTTATCCCGTTTTTTTGCATACAAATACATCGATAAATTATTATAATAACCCGCAGAACTGCACAGACTCACCCGCCATCTTGCAACACAAACTTGGGCGCTCTCTTACGGCAACTGATATTAACTTTTCGATCTTACAAGTGCTCGATCAGCGCTCGCACACACCACGGCCAGCCGCGGTTCCTTCCTTATCTCCTGCTTCGTTTTTACAGTGCACAGTATCCACACCACCTTCTCTTCGAATTCTCACTATTTTGTGTTGTCATTAATATTAGCTGGGTTGACACTTTCAACTTTCAACTGCAATCACACTAAAAAATACATAAATATCAATTCAGCTAATGAAGGTAAGGGCCATTGCACGCAAATTTAATAAGAGCAAGGAATAGGGCCTTTGCACGCAAATACGATAAGAGCGAGGAAGAGGGACTTTGCACAGACTGCACGCAAATACGATAAGAGTAAGGAATAAGGACACAACAAGGGCCGTACCATATAACTTTTTTTCGTTTGACGGGATATCGGCCCATCGGGCCTATATGTTATAAGTTATAACATATGCCATGCCGATGTACAGCAAATAACATAGTTACATAATATGGCCCCAGAGGGGGCGCATTCGATTATCATCGTACAAATCGCACTATTCCAACTATTCATTAGGTTGATTCGTTTCTTTTGGTTCCCTTCGATTCAAAAGGTCATCTGTCATCAGATCAACAACCTAACTTTAGAGCATATTCTTATATCTTAGAACTTTTATTTGATAAAAAATAATAAGACAAAAAACTACTGTTTGTTTAGCAAGTTTTGTACAAATAACGTAAAATTTATTTGTATATACATTGAAGAAAACATCAAGCGTTAAATATCACTAAAAATCCCTAAATAAATACATCTAGACAACAAAGATGTCAGATAAAATAAGTATAGATGATTTAAAAAAGGAACAGGTGAAGCGGAACAAAAATGAAATGATTAGAAGGAACGAGTAAAACGGTTCTACTAGAACCACGATGTAAGAATTGTAAGATGTAACAGGTGATGGTCCCATTGACGGTCAATCGAATTGACCCCATTGTCTATGTTACCTACCGTAAATTTTAGTCAATGGAGCTGTTCACATAGACATTTTTTGCTTAATTCAATGTGAACGTTCATATTGAAAAGGGGGTTCCACTATTCTGCTAAACTCAAATTGAGTGAACAGACTGAACAGACCTATATCTCTTTTTCCATCTGGCAACAAAGATTATGGTCGCAACTACGTTGACTGACAGAGAACACAGTATAGGTCTGTTCAGTCTGTTCACTCAATTTGAGTTTAGCGGAACAGTGGAACCCCTTTTTCAATATTAACGTTCACATTGAATTGAGCAAAAAATGTTTATGTGAAAAGCTCCAATATTTTAACATTTTAATCATTTAACTTTTTATTCTACATCGACTTGTATATAATATCTTGTTTATTAAAAATACATTCTTATTGCTAAATTTTTAATATTGTAAATTGCCAATGGCAGAACTGGCAAACGTAAAAAACTGTGGAGGATTTATACATAAATATATCAATAGCGATTTATATGATTTACTGCAAAACAGAGAAAAATATTTTATTGAACGTATGAAAAAGTGTAAAAATGATACATATGAAGTAACTATTAAAAGCATTATATGAAATTGTAATTTTAAGTTCCCATGAAATTATCAGAATTATAAAAAACTTAGTTTACTCGTTACTATTTATAATGTTCATTTTAATTATTGTATTATACAATGGTTCACAATAATTGATATAAACACATTTTTTTTGAAGGAAACGATACACTATTACTTTCGTTAGTATTGTACCAGTGTTCGCCAACACAAGCAGTATAACTAAATATAGTTTTCAACTCTTATTCTCCATCTGCTGGATATTTAATGAAACAGCACAAATATTTCACAAAAATTATGCCTCCGTGGGACGATGGGACCACCTGTTCTATATCTTTTACTATGAGTATAGAACCAATAGAACAAATATCATGAACCATACGATAATCGAACGTGCCCATCAATAACGGAAATAATAGTAGAAACAAGCAGAACAAAATGTTGATGAACTATCCTTTAATGAAAATATCATCAACATATTCACTGGCACAGTTGCTGTAATATTTTCGATCATCATTATCATTATCATCACTGCCATCATCATTATCATCATCATCATCATGATCATCACTATCATCAGCAGGACCAAAGCAATACTTGTCAGCAAACATTTTCCGTTCATCCTCAACACTACTTTCACTCAATTCTGATTCATCAATTAATAAATCATAATTTTTATGATTGAAGCAATGTATTTCATCGAAATAATTATCCACGTCAATAGCTTTTTCATATTAAATGACCAAATTATGCATGTGTATTGCATCACTCACATTGATGGTTTTCGGAATTTTTTTGTTTTTGTCGAGTTCTCCGGCTTTTCATTTTCTAATACATCGCATTTGAACTTTCTTACAGCACAAACGAGATTCGAACTTTTTATCGATAGTGCACGTTTATTTATTACTTTAAAAGTACTTATTTTTATACAACGATAATTTGAAGTAATCGAAGCAGAAGCTATAACCTCTAAGTTGAAGATGTGCCTTCAGGGCCGAGCATGGTCAGTATATGGTAGCCGTACCGTCAGGTCGCCTGAACCCGCCCGGACACGCACCTGGTAACACCACCTACCGAGGCCATCGAAATTAGTATCCGGTAGTGGGAGATGGCCCTGAAGGAGCCTTCAGGTAAACGGAATCTATTTCTATTCGGGAATATTCGTGACCCCTCGCCCCCTCCGACGAGAGGTCTTCTCGGAGAGATCGCAAATATCTGGGAGCTATTCACATAGACATTTTTTGCTTGTTTCATGGTGAACGTTCATATTTAAAAGGGGGTTCCACTGATCCGCTAAACTCAAATTGAGTGAACAGACTGAACAGACCTACAGTCTTGTAAGGTTAATGATGATATTCCAATGATCTGCTTTTCATTACAATCCATTGTATAGAATAACTGAATGAAAATCAATAACCAATTTATTTGTTATTTATAACCTACAATAGTTGCGACCATACGCTTTGTTGCCTGATGGAAAAAGAGGTATAGGTCTGTTCAGTCTGTTTACTCACTTTGAGTTTAGCGGAACAGTGGAACCCCCTTTTCAATATGGGTTGTAATCCGCAATCGTCGCCAGCAGTTACATACGTAAGACGTGACAACGTTGCGTGGTTGGGGGCGCTACTTTCGATTTACTGGTGATGTGATACACAATCCCGCCAGCAGTAAAGCAGACGACGTCAGTCTACTTGCTCTTTTTCGTGACATTTTTGCTGTAATCCCGCGCAATACCGCCAGCAGTAAAGCTGTTATTTCCACTTTTCTTTTTGGAACTTGAAACTATTTTTTTTTGGTCTGCGTGTTTGTTTACGTCTAGCACAATATGCTTTGTTTACAATCAGAAAATGTCACGAAAAAAAGCAAGTAGACCGACGTCGTCTGCTTTACTGCTGGCGGGATTGCGGATCACATCACGAGTAAATCGACAGTAGCGCCCCCAACCACGCAACGTTGTCACGTCTTACATATGTAACTGCTGGCGGCGATTGCGGATTACACCCATGAAATTTCACAATGAAATAAGCAAAAAATGTCTATGTGAATAGCTCCCTGGTCATCTACTGAATGTACAAGCATCCTTAGGTCGCGGTCACATGGAGAGCGTAAGGCCCCGGGGTGCGTAAGGTGCGTTCCGCAAGCTACAGAAGTTAATCTACAAATATCTCGGTGTCCTATAGATGACATTTAAGTGCAAGGGGAAAAGTGTGACATGTTATCTCTCTCACACTAATAAGTTATCTACACATTATCTAAATACTTAGATTAAACGGCCAGTGCTTACGGAACGCATCCCCGGTCACATGGAGAGCGTAACGCGTACCGCGTGACCATTTGAGCCCATAAGAGTGAAAGAGATAAAGTACGCGAACTTTTCTTTCACTCTCATCGGCTCAAAGGGTTACGCGGTACGCGTTACGCTCTCCATGTGACCGCGGCCTTAGGAATGCTTCCATCGCGCCGCCATGTTTGACTGCGAATTTTGAAAGCTTTTAAAATATAAAGCACGTAATCATTAGGAAACTTGTGAAACAATATACTTTTTAATAAAATTTTTATTTTTTTTACCATTACTATAATATAATTTAAAAAACTGTTATTAACAGTAATTATAACACAGCATTACAAAAAAATGGCGGGCTTTGTTACTGTAATTAAGTTTTTGTCGCTGAACCCAAATCCGTGGTCCGTTCGACTCTATCAGATCAAGATTGAGGTCATTATAAGGTCAAATTCAAGAAATTCGATAAAGTATAGAAATATCATGGTTTGATAAGGTTACGAATACAATTATAAAAGTATTGGAAGAAGCGCGCCATCATATTCTAGTTAATAAAAAGTGTACAGTTCCATGAAGAATGTTTTACCACCGGTGAACTACTCCCTATCTCAAGTTATGACGTCAACATGACGTCATTTACAATGTCGCTAAAGACGTACTCCACGACGTCTCAAAATACGTCATTTACATAGGTTGTTGTTTAACAAAGGGGTGTTTAAAAGCATTTGATGGCCTTGTAGGTGCTACCATCAAGATGGTAACACCAAAACAGAGGGGTTCGAAAAGTTTTTGAACTTAGAAAGTTTTTTCCCTATTTGAGAAAATTATTTTTTTATTATAAAAAATACTTGAACCTCCCGGTTTTAGTGTTAGCATCCTGATGGTAGCACCTACAAGGCCATCAAATGCTTTCAAACAGCCCTTTGTTAAACAACAACCTATGCAAATGACGTTTTTTGAGACGTCGTGGAGTACGTCTTTTGCGACGTCACAAATGACGTCATGTTGACGTCAATGTGATGTCATTCACGACGTCATGAATGACGTATTTTGCGATGTCTGGAATGACGTCATTATTGACGTCATAACTTGAGATAGGGCTGGGAAACTAATTTACAGCCTAGAATTTCTAGAAAATCGTGTAATTCAATGAAATGATGGTTTTTGTAGTGCTGTGTTACCTGAGGATCATACAGAGGCCTTGTCTAATATCGGTATACTTATTTTACGTAATTTGACTTTAAAATAACTTTGATCTTGACCCAATACCCAATAAGGTTAAAAAAACCCAGGATTCGTTCTCATCAGCACTACCTACACCCCAGCCTGCAAAATGTTGTGTATACAAAAATAAAAAATGAAGGGTCGTATATTTTCAATTACTTCGACCACCTATGCATAAAGTTTTAATTGCTTCTGTCTCAAAAAAGCAAAAAAAAAATTTTTTTGAGAAGAAAAATTGGCTTATCTTTGACAGGTGATAACACAATAAATACGGAACATTTCGAATTGCTTCTACCGCTAATGAACTGCTTTTGACCTCTTCTTAATTGCTTCGGTGAATCCGATAACAGCTTCGTTAATTTAAATAATTTATTGATAGAAATTGGATTTCCAGAAACTAAGGGTGAGATTACATAGAGTCTGGCAGTCTGCAGACTGGCAGAATCGCGCTAAGTTTAAATTATGTTTAAATTATAACATCTCAGAATAATTTAGTAAAATAAAGAAAAAATTGTAATTATTGTCATAACAGAATAAAGGCTTAGTTATAATCAATTTCATTTACAATAAAACGTGTCAAATATTATTTTATAACTTTTTTTATAGATTTATGTTAACATCGCACAGTCGGTCAGTGGGGTCACTGATGTTACCTGGTATGTATAACAATATGTAACTGTGACAAAACGTTTTTCGTCGCCTTTTTTTTCATGAATATTAGTTCATACAGAAATGCAAATGTATTACGATAATTATTTCTTTGCTTACGTAACAGGTTTTAAATATTAATTTTGAAACATATTTTAAACTTAGCGCGATTCTGCCAGTCTGCAGACTGCCAGACTCCATGTAATCTCACCCTAAGGGTGCCTGTACATGGGCGTCTTACAGTCTTAAGCCTGTAAGCCACACCTATGGCGGTTGATTTAATTCAAACTGATGTTAACTGAATACCGATATAATTTGTTTTAAACAAGGAAATAGACACTTTATTCATAATAAAACTATGTAACGTGATGAAATTATAAGGTTAGAACGTCTTTAAGGCATCTAATGAAAAATTTCTACAATTCATGTTAATACAATAATTTTGTCAACATAACCTCTCTTTTTAACGACTCAGCGTTGGCAAATTTTTTTTTAGTTTTGGTGGCTAAATATCTTTCCAATATTATAATGCAATCACGTAACATAGTTTTGTTACGAACAGGACGCCTATTATCTTGTTTAAAACAATTTATATCAATATTCAGTTAACGTTAGTTCGAATTGAATCACCCGCTATAGAATTGGCTAACAGTCTTAAAAGACATTCAGACACCCATGTACAGGCTCCCCAAGTATTTCCAGTGAAGTATTTGACATTCACGCATGCGCGCGTCACAACTATTTTACTATTAATATTTCCTAGACTATTGCTGGAAATCCTATTTCTATCAATAAATTATTTAAATTAACGAAGCTGTTATCAAACTCACCGAAGCAATTAAGAAGAGGTCAAAAGCAGTTCATTGGCGGTAGAAGCAATTCGAAGTGTTCCGTATTTATTGTGTTATCACTTGTCAAAGATAAGCCAATTTTTCTTCTCAAAAATATTTTTTTTTTTTGCTATTTTGAGACAGAAGCAATTAAAACTTTATGCAGAGGTGGTCGAAGTAATTGAAAATATACGACTCTTTATTTTTTATTTTTGTATACACAACACTTTTCAGGCTAGGGTGTAGGTGGTCTTATCAGCGACTTCAAAATTATATGTAAATATTAACACGGTAATTTCAAGCAGAAAATATAGAATGTAAGTAGGTACTCGAGTATATTCTATATTATCTGGTTCAAGTTTACCGGTGTAAAATTTTTTCTTTGGTTATGTATCAGCCAGAATTTATCATTCAGAATTGTATGTGGATATATACTTCAGGAAAGCCGACTAGCCGACCGGCATTAATATGGTTTTACATAAGGTGTTTCAGATTGGTAATGCCGTATGTAATTCCATGTGGAAAAATACATGGAATTACAGATCGAAAAAAAAAAATTTTGTCATCTAGAAATAAATACTAAATACCGTAATACGTTATTTACTGTTAACAATAACTGTTAACATCTGGATGATACCTTCAAAACAAGGGATTCAGCTGATTTTTCTTGAATATAAAAAAAAAAAAAAAAAAAAAAGAAACTTCAACTTTTTTGTAATTCCTGAAATAGTAAGACCCCTGATATGAAGCCATATGTAGAACCACATGTAATGCCGTACCGCTTTCCTGGATTAATTACACATCATCCGTTTTTTCAGGTGAGTTTTTGATAAATTTCAAACGTCAAGTTTCAGATAGTGATAATAAGTAACAATTATTTACTGCTTCTTTTGATATTTCTATTTTTTCATATACTTCTCAACCCTAGTAGCATAAGATAAGTAATTTTTTTTTTTTTATTAAAAGGTCTTATAGACTGAAACGAGTCAAATAGTAAGTTTTTCAGCATATTAGAAGCCATAAATATAATGTTTTGGAGCAACAATTTTAACGATGTATGATGTATGATGCACGACTCAGATAACAGTGAGTGCTGATAACCAAGCAAGCTCAGCTTTTATGTTTGCAAAATGTATAATTCTGTAATGTACAAAATTTCTTTTGAGTCACGATTATATACAAACTTTGTATTTAGCAAACAAAATGCATTAAAATCGCCTAAACTGTTTTTTAAATCTCTCATAGTGATAATCATCAGTAGCTTTTTCATCGCTATCTTTTCTCTTATCTTTTGAGTTTGATGTTTGCGGTATATGTCTCTGAGAAGATCCTTGTCTCTTTCTTTTTTGTGCATCATCATCTAAATTAACTGAAATATCAATAAATAGATGATTTAATATTATGAAGGTACAACAATAAAAATAACCAGGTTATCCACTTGGAAATCATATCTTACATCTGTTGTGTTGAACAAAGTTTACAGCCATATTAGTAGGCACAAACTGAGATGGACCGTCCTTCTTTCTATGTCTCTCCCACAGTAATTTTAACTTTGCCTCCTCGGTTGACTCAATATTGCGAATTTTGGCTCTGAAAAATTACAATAATTATGTTACAATAGAAGATCTTGTCACGTAAGTTTTGAGTTTAAAAATATGTAACATGTACTCTATGCCCAGATCAACTTCAGGAATTCCAGAAAGCATTTGATTCGATAACATCTCTTCACTTTTGTGTGATGAACTTTGCCTCAAGTGCTCAGGCACTGCTTGAAGTGCTGCTTCTTCTGGTGAGCAGTAAAGCATTTTATTTTTATTGGCATCGTCCTCTCGGTTAATACTGTTTTTATTCTTTCTTTTTTGTAGCTCTTCCTCGATGTACTTGACCCTGATAATATAAATTCTCAAATATAGTAACTTCTACAGTTCTACTTAAAAAAAATCAAAGTTTACCAAAGTATTCACATTTCATCATCTTCATCGCGTTTGTTTGTTTCTGCATTAAACTGAGTTCCAATCCCAGTATCATAAGCATCATCTTGTTTAATTTTACTGTTTTTCAAAGCAGCCATGTTTACCATTCCACCTGCTTTGACTTTAAATGGATCGGACTTCAAAACAAAGACAAAGTAACTTAATAATAAGTAAGAAGAAAGTAGTCACTTTAATTAGTTTAAAAAATCTAAAAAATCAAACCTACATCAACTATTCTGTCAATGGGTGTTGCAGCCTCACCTAAAGCTAAACCAACAATATTTACTCCTTTTGGACGTTCACGTAGTTTTTGAACAGTTCTTAGTTCTTCTAACTGAAATCTACAATTAGTATGCATACCTGTATATATTTACACATAAATTTATGTATGTATTTTCTGTATATCCAAAATATTAATTGAAAATTTAACTGCAAGAGGCAATAGGTACCTGTTAAAATTGTCTTCACTACCACTGTTTTCATCTGAAGACGACGTTTTCCGCTTTCTCAAGGCTTTCACCTTTTTCTTTTTAAAAACAATTTTTTCAGACGCTTCATCGTCACTAGTCATGATTTCTGTAAAATTATATGTTATCTCCAATTCTGGATTACAAAAAAAAAACAAAAGCTGAGTGACAACAGGATACTATATACCAGAACCAAACAATAGATTTGTTCGATTAAGAGGTTCCGAGCGCTCGGAGCGCTCGGAGTGCTCCGAACTTTAGCCCGAACACGCGTTCTTGCTCCGAGCGCTCCAAGTGCAAGTGACTCAGGCCACCATTGGATAGCCGTGTAAGATCCAGCTAACCTATATTATTTTTAATAGTAATCAATGATTCATAAAAACGATTTTATTTTATTTCATACGAATTAAAAAGTGGTTGTCGACAGCTCTAGTATAGTTACGAGGTGAAAAAGCTGATATGTGTTTTTAAAAAAGTTTCTCAAAAAATTTTTTGTTTTAAAGTTTTACCAAGTTTTTTCTAAAATGGAAAATTTTTTTATGCTTCAATTAATGAGATTAGCTAAGCATTTACGAATTTGCAATAGACTTTGATAAAATTGCGTTGTGGCAAATGTGGATATGATATTGAGGATGATCAAATTTTGAAACATCATTGTCTCTCTCAATATCGGGAAGTTGAACTGATGGGCTTTTACGTATACCCCCCTCCTGATAGAGGTAGGTACATATCAGTACTCTTTATAGAATACAATTTTTTAGAATCAAATGCTGATCTACCAATATTTTAGGATGTAAAAAAAATAATGCTTCTTATATATCTAATGATTCCGAGACTTGGATCAGAGTTGAAGACTGAATGAACATACGAATTTTATATTTTGTAACATTAATATAATACTAACATTTTCCGGTGTCATGATAAACAATAAAAAAACCTTCCAACTATGCAATCAAAACAAAAAAACGGTTTGTTTACTCGCGATTACGTTGAGCTGGATCTTACACGGCTATCCACAGGCGGCCTGAGTCACGTGCACTTGGAGCACTCGGAGCGCTCGGAGCAAGAACGCGTGTTCGGGCTAGAGTTCGGAGCACTCCGAGCCTTCGGAGCGCTCCACACGTACTCTCGGCCCAGGATCCGTACCATATAACTTATACCGCTTCGCGGGCCTATGTTATAACATTTACATTTACATTATGATTTACGCGAAGCGGAAAAAGTTATATGGTACGGCTCCTGGTGACCCAAAAAATCCGTTGTAGCGCCCGATTTACTTGTGATCTAGTGTAAGTAAATTATCTACAGAGGCCGTACCATATACCTTAAGAGGTTAAGATAATTCATAGCTCTTACGGATTTTTTAGGTTTCCTGATTATGAGCGCGTGTGGAGCAGTTGGAGCGCTCCGAGCGCTCGGAACCTCTTAATCGAACAAATTTATAGAGCTCGTTCTGGAGGAGTATGTATACGGGCCAGGGATGGCCGTGTCATTTATGTCATGTCATAAATTCAATTTATGACGTGTCATGAATATTCAATTAATGACATTTCATGTCTTTATGACACGGTGAATTTTTTTTTGTATTTGTTAGGGTAGGTTAGTATTCTTTTGGCCGAATTGCGAGTATTACGACTCGCGACACGAGTTAAAACTTTTTACCATTTAAATACAGCGTGATACTACCAAACTTCTTCCTTGTGGAAATTTCAAGAACAAAAATATAAGTTAATAAGTACGCGGGACACAGGTTTAAGGCAAGCGGAATTAAAAAGTTTGTCGTAAAATGAGTGACTAAGGAAGACCTCCACACGAACACTATACGATAATATTCGAACGCGTCCCGAAACACGTTCCAAACGTCTGCGTCATTTATTACATTTTTGACATAAATGACATATTTGACACGTGACATGTCATAAATACCTTTTCATAGCAATTTCCCATCCCTGATACGGGCTGTGTACGGCACACGGTGTAAGATATAGAACATATGGTCCCATCCCATTCCCAATTCCCCATGTGGGACTCACTCACGCCTCACGCCTTACGCCCCCTTTTCTCCTCTATTCTTATACCTCTATGGCCAAAACCCAAAACGGCCAAAACGTCCAAAACAAAGCTAATGCGCGCACTTTTTGTATTCAATATTTTCATAACATAACCTCATTGATAGTATACATTATACATAAACAAATAGTTATTGTAAGAGCAGGAGTGAATAGAAAATGTCACCAAACGTGGCTAAAACAGTGCCCAATTTGCCATGGTGAATTAAATTTTCAAAATGTATTTATTTTTTATTTATTAAATAATATCGTTTGCTATTTTATGTATTTTTAGGGTTGAAAAGTATAGACCAAATAAATTATCTGATCTTATTTCTCACGAAGAGATCATCCAAACAAGTAAGTTGTTGGTGTAAAGCACCTTTCATGGCGTTTCATTAATTACATTGTAAATCGCGTGTATTACAGTCAACAAGTTCATTGATGAAAATCAGCTGCCTCACTTGTTACTGTATGGTCCTCCAGGTACTGGTAAGACCAGTACGATTCTTGCATGTGCCAAAAAACTTTACACACCACAGCAGTTTAATTCAATGGTATATATCCATTTACTTCGTTTGATTACCTATGCATGACAAACAGTTTTTATCACTCGTAACTTTCTTTTCAGGTTTTGGAGCTGAATGCGTCAGATGATAGAGGTATTGGTATTGTTAGAGGTCAGATATTAAGTTTTGCCAGCACAGGCACAATGTACAGATCGGGGTTCAAATTAATTATACTTGATGAAGCTGATGCCATGACTAATGACGCTCAAAATGCACTTAGAAGAAGTTAGTTTTTTTTTTTTTTTTTTTGTGTCGATAATGTGTTTGATAACTAACCAGCATAATTTGAATATGATTTCAGTTATTGAAAAGTACACTGATAATGTAAGATTTTGTATTATATGCAATTATTTGAGCAAAATCATCCCTGCCCTTCAATCTCGTTGTACAAAGTTTAGATTTGGCCCACTTGCTCCAGCACAAATTCTGCCACGTTTAGAGCATGTTGTTAAAGAAGAAAAGTTCGTAACAATTTGAGTAAATAGATTTACTTTATTTTTTAAAATAATTTATAATGAATAAATTGTTTTAGTGTTAATGTGACGGAAGATGGCAAGCAGGCGTTAATGACTTTAAGTGGTGGTGATATGAGAAGAGTTATTAATGTTTTACAAAGCACGTGGCTAGCTTTTGGATGCGTCAATGAAGAAAATGTTTACGCCTGTGTTGGGCATCCGCTACCAAATGATATAAAGAACATTGTTAATTGGCTTTTAAATGAATCTTATGAATTTGCTTACAACAGTATCCTTTTAATATCTCAACCCATGTTTACTATAAGTTTAGTATCTTGAGTAAGTTTTTTTTCTTAAAAATTGTCCTTATTTATTTAACTATAAAATGTAAAACCCGACGTAATTAATTAAGCCTATTTCACCAAAATAATTTATGATCCTTATCAGTAAATCAGAAGTTCAAGATTTAAAAACTAGAAAAGGACTAGCTTTACAGGATATATTAACAGAACTTCAAGGTCTTGTTAATAAGAGTAAGTACTTACTATCAAGCCTCTACCTGGGATTTCAGTTAATTTTAATTTCATCTATTTTTTAGTTGAGTTTCCAGATGATGTATTGATTGAACTTATTATAAGGATGGCAGAAATTGAAAAACGGGTCATCAGTGGCTGTAACGAAGCTGTACAGTTGAATGCTCTTGTTTCTGCATTTCAAAAGCCTCGAGAAATAGAAATTCCTTGAACCAACTGAAATGAGTTATTTTCGAAGTTTTTTATGTTTAAAATTATTTTAATAAATAAGTTATTTCCAAAATATTACGAATCGTATTTTATAACCACTCTCTTTTTTTTATTTCATGGGCACTTGGCCTGTTAAAACGAATGTTTCAATGATCTATATATCTTTATTACTGTTTACTCTGTTATAAAGTGAATGGTTGAAATAGGTTGTTATCTCTTGGTAAAGTACGCCATAATAATTTGATACATGTATTTATTGAAAAAGTTATGGATTTTATCTTATTTAAAAAATAAATGAATGATAAGCAAGAAGATTGGTTTTAAAAAATGTTTAACACTTTATAATTTATTGCAGTAACTTAATAATGTAACGTTTTGTGTGTAATCGATTTTTTCATCAAGTAATTCGTTTTTCAACAAAAACTTGAACATTATGATTCCTGTGAAAGAAAATTTTTTGTGGCATTGAAAAAAAGAAACAAATACATTTTTTATATTTGTAAAAATACGCTTGTTTAAACTATTCAAGACACTATAGAATGTCGTAACACTGTATTGTCCCAGGAGCACGTTATCAAATCATTTTGGTGCCATGCCAGTCCTCGAACAAAGTCAGAATGTGCATTGTTTTCAAAAATAACTTCTACATTATCTTCTTTAACATTTAAAACTTTAACTTCCGTAGAATCACAACAGCCTGCCAACTGAGTTGGATTTACTGTATTGAACAGTAATTTTCTTACTCCACGAGGAAACTGGACAGATTCATGTATAGGATTAGGACCAATGTGTCGAATATCTAATATGATAACACTTCCATCTTCGGCTCCAAGAGCCAAAACATTTTGATCGTTAGGTTTCCAAGACACAGCTGTTAGACCACAATCTTGTTTTTCCCATAAACCTTGAAGTAAAAAAAATTTTACTTTATCTTTCATTGCGTAAAAAATTTTAACTATAGTTTTATGGACAATTTAAATCTTATTTCAGTTGATAATAACTTTTATTCATCTTGAAAAAAGCTATAACTAGATATCATATGCTCACTTACAGATCTAAAGAAAAAAAAAAAAAAAAATGTTTACTAACCAGTAGCCGGTTTTGGATCTCTTATATCCCAAAGAAGTGCTTCAGAATCCAAAGATGTAGACACAAACACTGTATCACTTTCAAATTGTGCTGCAATGCCAGTAATAACATTAGTTTGAGCCTGATTGAATGATAATGTGGTTATCATTTCTGTTGTATCCCAGATTTTGATGCTAAAATATAAATAAAATTTCATGTACATTAAACCTTTGGAACGATATTTGTTGACATTTAAATGTGCTATCAATGTCTTACTTGCAATCCATTCCTCCTGAGACAGTGTGAGTATTGTCATAGAAAGCTGCGATTGATGTAACACTGTCATCATGTTGGCAAGAGTAGCCTGTGAATTGCAAATCTTTTGCCTTAGTGTCTGTGTTTAGTGTTACTTCGTAGATTTGCACAAGCCCACTGTCTTCTCCAACAAAAAATTTGTCATGTTTTCCAAGGAACACAGCATCACGCACTCCACTTTCAGTTCTTGTAGCAGCTGAGTAACTGTTGCGATCAAAACCTACAGGCTCACTAAAATACCACAGTGTTCCATACCAGTAACGATCTACCATGTTACTGGCTCCGAGTACCAAACTGTCATCTACAAGTATGTACAAGAGCACATGTTAAATTTGAGTTAATTATAGTTTTTTTATAAATAAAAGAATCCACCATAAGACCATTCATGAAATAGTATAGATGTTCATAAAAAAGTTAATATAGATTATTAAATTTACATGAATAATGAAAGTAAGCAGAACATAAATAAAACATAATATCAATAACATACCTATCAGGTTTTACTTAGCTGATCTAAAACTCACCTCTGTGCACAATAACAACCTCGAGCTGTTTGTCATGAAGCAGATTATTCGCCAAGGTCAAATTTCTGTAAGCCTCAGCATTTAAATTTGGGTCGACCGTTTCAGTCTGTTGCTCCATTTTAAACTAAATAAAAGTGAAAATAAGTATAGATTTTATGAACTTGCTTCTTTAAAAAGACTTGCTCCAAATCGTATATGAGAGTCAGAAGTTTGTTTTGGAAGCCGGCCCATGTGTTTTACGTATGACCACATTACCAGGGATGGGTAAATAGTGCGACACTGAGTTTACGACACGTCAGGTGTATAATATGACATAAGCGTCGTAAATTGTATAATATGTTATAAATGACACTAATTTCAAAATCAAAATAATAAACGCGTGAGATTCGAATAAGATAATGAGTCAACAAGTAGGAGATAATTCTACACTTATTGTGATGAATCTATCAAATAAATAACTAATTAATTCAATAAATAATAATACAATAACTTAAGATAAACTGAACAAAAAAACGACAGAACTGTAAAAAGGCACTCTCTTAATTTAAAACAGTGAAAATTTCACTATTTGCGCAAGTGAACAAGATTTTCACTAGCGAAATAGTGAAAAATGAGGGTCGCTCGTTGGCACCCAATCGATACAAATTTTTATTCTAATTATTTATCAGTAATCCAATAAAATATCTTGATCCAAATATAAGGTAATTGCACAATTCGTACACATTTTTCAAGTACTACCAACAATAGTTTTATCAACTAATTGAAATAGTGAAACATTAACTTGGAAGAATAGAGAATATTCACTATTTCACAGTGAATATTCACTATTTCACAGTGAATATTCATTATTTAAAATGTTATAAGTATACAACTATGAAATAGTAAAAGCGACTGTTTCACTGTTTAAATAGTGTATATTCACTAATTTACACTGCATATGCACTATTTGGAATAAATTGTACAAATATCACTGTATTAAATTAAGAGAGCAGTGCAGTGCTCACAAAACCGGTACCCAACCCAGCACAAAAATTCAGGTCTTTTAAGCTTACAACACAAACGCCAATAACCCAATAATAACAAAGGGTGTAAATTTATAACAAAGGGTGCTAACTCGCCACTCTATTGAATAATAAATTTTCAATTAATAACACAAGCACCTATCACCCAATGACCCGGGGCGCTTACTGGCCACTTTATTAAGCAATAAAATGTTGAACAATAACACAAATGCTAATCACCAGACGAACCAAGGTTTAATTTTATTAAGTGGCCCGTAAGCGCCTCAATTTGCCTAGTGATTAGCACTTGTGTTATTATTCAATGATTTACTAATTAATAAAGCAAATATAGTAAATAAATAAAGCCCTAGGTTGTTTGGTGATAGGCGCTTGTGTTGTTGTTTACCATTTAATTAATTAATGTAGCGACCAGGAAGTGCCCTGGATTTTCTAATGATTCGCAGTTGTGTTATTGCTTAACATTTTATTAATTAGTAAAGTGGCCAGTAAGCGCCCCGAGTCTTTGGGTTATCGGCACTTTAGTTATCAATTAATCTTTTATTAATTATTAACGTGGCAAGTAAGCACCCTGGATCATCGGGTGATTGTCGCTTGTGTTATTGTTTAACATTGTATTGGCCAGTAAGCGCCCCGAGTCTTTGGGTTATCGGCACTTTAGTTATCAATTAATCTTTTATTAATTATTAACGTGGCAAGTAAGCACCCTGGATCATCGGGTGATTGTCGCTTGTGTTATTGTTTAACATTGTATTATCAAATAGTGGCCAGTACGCACCCTTAATCATCGGGTAATTGGCGCTTGTGTTATTAGTTTCCATTTTATGAATTAATAAAGCGATTAGTAAGCACTCCAAGTTGCCTAGTGATTGGCGCTTGTGTTATTGATTATCATTTGATTAATTATTAAAGTGGCCAGTAAGCGCCTCGGGTCACTTGGTGATAGGCACTTTAGTTATAAATTAATTTTTTATTATTTATTAAAGTGGCCAGTAAGCGCCCCGGGTCATCAGGTGATAGGTGCTTGTGCTGTTAATTAATAATATATATCGATTATTAAAGTGGCCAGTAAGCGCCTCGGGTCACTTGGTGATAGGCACTTTTGTTATTGATTATCATTTGATTAATTATTAAAGTGGCCAGTAAGCGCCTCGGGTCACTTGGTGATAGGCGCTTGTGTTATTAAAAATTATTTATATGACAGAGTAGCCAGTAAGCGCCTCGGGTCACTTGGTGATAGGCACTTTAGTTATCAATTAATTTTTTATTATTTAATAACGTGGCAAGTAAGCACCCTGGATCATCGGGTGATTGTCTCTTCACTTTATAATTTATTGCAGTAACTTAATAATGTAACGTTTTGTGTGTAATCGATTTTTTCATCAAGTAATTCGTTTTTCAACAAAAACTTGAACATTATGATTCCTGTGAAAGAAAATTTTTTGTGGCATTGAAAAAAAGAAACAAATACATTTTTTATATTTGTAAAAATACGCTTGTTTAAACTATTCAAGACACTATAGAATGTCGTAACACTGTATTGTCCCAGGAGCACGTTATCAAATCATTTTGGTGCCATGCCAGTCCTCGAACAAAGTCAGAATGTGCATTGTTTTCAAAAATAACTTCTACATTATCTTCTTTAACATTTAAAACTTTAACTTCCGTAGAATCACAACAGCCTGCCAACTGAGTTGGATTTACTGTATTGAACAGTAATTTTCTTACTCCACGAGGAAACTGGACAGATTCATGTATAGGATTAGGACCAATGTGTCGAATATCTAATATGATAACACTTCCATCTTCGGCTCCAAGAGCCAAAACATTTTGATCGTTAGGTTTCCAAGACACAGCTGTTAGACCACAATCTTGTTTTTCCCATAAACCTTGAAGTAAAAAAAATTTTACTTTATCTTTCATTGCGTAAAAAATTTTAACTATAGTTTTATGGACAATTTAAATCTTATTTCAGTTGATAATAACTTTTATTCATCTTGAAAAAAGCTATAACTAGATATCATATGCTCACTTACAGATCTAAAGAAAAAAAAAAAAAAAAATGTTTACTAACCAGTAGCCGGTTTTGGATCTCTTATATCCCAAAGAAGTGCTTCAGAATCCAAAGATGTAGACACAAACACTGTATCACTTTCAAATTGTGCTGCAATGCCAGTAATAACATTAGTTTGAGCCTGATTGAATGATAATGTGGTTATCATTTCTGTTGTATCCCAGATTTTGATGCTAAAATATAAATAAAATTTCATGTACATTAAACCTTTGGAACGATATTTGTTGACATTTAAATGTGCTATCAATGTCTTACTTGCAATCCATTCCTCCTGAGACAGTGTGAGTATTGTCATAGAAAGCTGCGATTGATGTAACACTGTCATCATGTTGGCAAGAGTAGCCTGTGAATTGCAAATCTTTTGCCTTAGTGTCTGTGTTTAGTGTTACTTCGTAGATTTGCACAAGCCCACTGTCTTCTCCAACAAAAAATTTGTCATGTTTTCCAAGGAACACAGCATCACGCACTCCACTTTCAGTTCTTGTAGCAGCTGAGTAACTGTTGCGATCAAAACCTACAGGCTCACTAAAATACCACAGTGTTCCATACCAGTAACGATCTACCATGTTACTGGCTCCGAGTACCAAACTGTCATCTACAAGTATGTACAAGAGCACATGTTAAATTTGAGTTAATTATAGTTTTTTTATAAATAAAAGAATCCACCATAAGACCATTCATGAAATAGTATAGATGTTCATAAAAAAGTTAATATAGATTATTAAATTTACATGAATAATGAAAGTAAGCAGAACATAAATAAAACATAATATCAATAACATACCTATCAGGTTTTACTTAGCTGATCTAAAACTCACCTCTGTGCACAATAACAACCTCGAGCTGTTTGTCATGAAGCAGATTATTCGCCAAGGTCAAATTTCTGTAAGCCTCAGCATTTAAATTTGGGTCGACCGTTTCAGTCTGTTGCTCCATTTTAAACTAAATAAAAGTGAAAATAAGTATAGATTTTATGAACTTGCTTCTTTAAAAAGACTTGCTCCAAATCGTATATGAGAGTCAGAAGTTTGTTTTGGAAGCCGGCCCATGTGTTTTACGTATGACCACATTACCAGGGATGGGTAAATAGTGCGACACTGAGTTTACGACACGTCAGGTGTATAATATGACATAAGCGTCGTAAATTGTATAATATGTTATAAATGACACTAATTTCAAAATCAAAATAATAAACGCGTGAGATTCGAATAAGATAATGAGTCAACAAGTAGGAGATAATTCTACACTTATTGTGATGAATCTATCAAATAAATAACTAATTAATTCAATAAATAATAATACAATAACTTAAGATAAACTGAACAAAAAAACGACAGAACTGTAAAAAGGCACTCTCTTAATTTAAAACAGTGAAAATTTCACTATTTGCGCAAGTGAACAAGATTTTCACTAGCGAAATAGTGAAAAATGAGGGTCGCTCGTTGGCACCCAATCGATACAAATTTTTATTCTAATTATTTATCAGTAATCCAATAAAATATCTTGATCCAAATATAAGGTAATTGCACAATTCGTACACATTTTTCAAGTACTACCAACAATAGTTTTATCAACTAATTGAAATAGTGAAACATTAACTTGGAAGAATAGAGAATATTCACTATTTCACAGTGAATATTCACTATTTCACAGTGAATATTCATTATTTAAAATGTTATAAGTATACAACTATGAAATAGTAAAAGCGACTGTTTCACTGTTTAAATAGTGTATATTCACTAATTTACACTGCATATGCACTATTTGGAATAAATTGTACAAATATCACTGTATTAAATTAAGAGAGCAGTGCAGTGCTCACAAAACCGGTACCCAACCCAGCACAAAAATTCAGGTCTTTTAAGCTTACAACACAAACGCCAATAACCCAATAATAACAAAGGGTGTAAATTTATAACAAAGGGTGCTAACTCGCCACTCTATTGAATAATAAATTTTCAATTAATAACACAAGCACCTATCACCCAATGACCCGGGGCGCTTACTGGCCACTTTATTAAGCAATAAAATGTTGAACAATAACACAAATGCTAATCACCAGACGAACCAAGGTTTAATTTTATTAAGTGGCCCGTAAGCGCCTCAATTTGCCTAGTGATTAGCACTTGTGTTATTATTCAATGATTTACTAATTAATAAAGCAAATATAGTAAATAAATAAAGCCCTAGGTTGTT